CTGACTTAATTCTTAAATATGCGCATTTCAAAACCAGTCACCACACGTGCTTCTTCAAAAGAATAAAATCAAGTGCATAGATTTACGTTGGAAGTTAAATTAAAGAATGAACGGAGGACAATAAAACAAAGGCCAAAAGCCCAAGTTAAAATAATTGGGTATTTGACAATCTGAATTATATGCAAGGTCTCTTTTTTTACTGTTTTAGGGCTTTTTGCAGACTTTATCTACCATTATAGGCTGGTGGGCAAACAGTGAAGATTGTACAAACAGTTGAGGGGGGTTACAGTTGTATAGTTGTACATACAGCTACGCGTGTTAGTGTCAGGGGCAGGTCATACACATTAACGTGTACTCTCTAGAAACACCATCAGACTGTTGCCGCTTGACCTGTCCACTAATCGATGGTAGATACAACCTGCCAGTAACTCATAAGCACACACACACGCTCACACACTCAAACCAGGAGAGGAGAAACAACACACACACACACTTTTGATTACGCTGAGCGTGTATGAAACTTGATATGATTCCTTGAATAATTATTTCTTCAGGTTCGAGTGCCACGAAGAATCATCTCTTTCCCTTCTTCTGGTTGTCTCATCCTCTGTACATCGTTTCACTAATATTCAGGGGCCCACGTGGCTTGTTCACTCTCCAGTTCAACTATAATTAGTTTGCATCACGTGCACTCTAATCCCATGGGTGCTGAAGTTCGCTGCTTTGTTAAATAAGGGATGGAAAAAAAAAAAACAACGGAAAAAAAAAAAAACGGAGGAGGAGAGAGGCTAGGTAATAGAAATTGCCATTTAATTGTTCCGGAGCCAGAGTGGGGGTGAAACATTTGTTTATTTTACTGCTATCACTTGCCAGCTCGGGTTGTATTAACAATCCAAGCTGAGGGTTTGTGTTCTTTCACTTCATGTTGGTTATAAATTTCAGTTCCTAATTCTCATTCTCCATTTTATTCATTGAATTAAGGAGTAATGGAAGAAAATGCAAAAATAATACTTACTTTTTTTTTTGTTTTCTTCATATGTCCCTTTTTTTTGGCTTTCTCACTCCTCTTCTTCTCACTCACATCACACCACACACACACAACACACCCACACATCACACACACACACACAGAACAATAGCCGGGGTTCTCCTGGTTCCAGTAAGATGCTTCTCGATTATGTACACATCTACCTACTTGAGGACCCATCTGGCGAAATAGAGATGGGTTGGCAGCGTTCCACTAAATTATTAACTGCACAACGCGGAGTACAGAATTTGCGGGACTGCCACTTCTATTATACAACACACACACCACACACACACAACCACTACACACACACTTGCACACACACTTGCCAGCAACCTCACTGCAAAGTTTCAGTAGTGAAGTACTGTTCACACACAAGTATATAGACAAACTCACACACAAAGCGAGCAAACAAAAGCATACTGCTGTCTTTTTGCATGCGCTGCCTGAAAGTGAGCAGATGCAGCGATTAAGGAATCTGTCACTTAAGGAAATCAGCCTTGTGCAGCTGCAAGCCAGAGGTGACCTGCAAAACTTTTGTGGCCCCTGTCGAGCACACATTAAAAATAAATTTATTAGAAAGCACTCATAGTTTATTAACTAATCCGGCACTGTCCTTGGCAAGACACGTACAACTTTTTGAATCGCAGAAAGATACAAAGCTGTTTTTTGAGCGCCTTAGATGCCACCGTATCAGTGACAACTTTTTATGCAAGTGCGGCTGTAAAATAAAGTAAAATTGCACTAAAAATCTCAACCGCAGTTGAGGATGTAATTGAGAAAATTACACATCTCGCTCAAGCCGAAAGCACTACATCAATCAGGACAAAAAGAATGTTTCAAGAGAAATGGAGCGTGTCAGTACTTTGTCATGCAAGAATGGCAGTATTTTGATTTTATTTTTTGCTCTTTTTTTTTTTTTTTTTTGCATTTTTGGGCCTTTTTATTTGAGAGTTGACAGTGTGGTGATGGACAGGAAACGTTGGGAGAGAGATATTCAGCAAAGGCTCAGCTGGAACTGAACCATTGTTTCCCCTTACGTGTCCCTCCATCCAGTGCGGGCTCCCCAGATTCATTTCACACCAGAGCTCCCAGCTTCAGAAACCTATCCTCGTGCCCAGTAGCCTGCGATCTTAAAACACATGTTGCGAAATCCACAGAGAAAGAAGATAAAAGTACTAACAGGAGTGTGATAAATATTGCAGTTATGTTTTAATAAAAAAGATCAACTTATGTATTAATTAGTTAGTCTTTGTTTCAGCATTTGGAGCCAGCAGGTGATTAGCTTAACATAAAAATTGAAAGCAGGGGTGGGAAAAGGCTAACCTGGCTCACCCAAAAGCTCAAAAACACATCTACGACACATAGAAAACTCTTTATTTCATAGTTATTGTTATATATTCATACTATGTAACTCCTTCTTAAACCACAAATGAATATTCATGCTCGAGTATTTCTTTAAAGCTTTGTGGACGTGCCATTACACCGGTGTAGGATAAGCATAGTGTGTTTGCCCATTGTCAAGGGCTTTATGTGCTTTGCAATATTCATGATTCTTTGCTGTAGGTAATAGCCCTGTACAGAACAGTGTGAGGGTGCACATCCACTGTGGCATGCCAGCTCAAACTGCAGAGGCGTTCTCAAACTAATTAACACAATACAAAACCCATTTGCTCACTTTTTCCACTTCATGTAAACTTGCTCTCAGCTTATATTTCTGTTGCTTAACAGTCCGCCGTGATTTCTGTGTCATTTTCTAGCACCCAGCCAAGCCTGCTACTGGCCTGCTTCGCTGAAGTAATGAGATTAATGCATGAGGAGAGCTTTAACCTTGAATTTAACATCCAGCTCCTTCTACAGCTAGCTCCAATAAAAAAAATGTTGTATGGAAATTCATGGCTATGCTAATCTAGCCGGATTAGGTTAATTCAGTTAGTGGGTTGTGAATTTAAACCTGTTATTTAGCAGCCGGGGCTTGCAGCAGCTACTTGCTTATGCTTCCTGAGTTTCTCAGGGGCTGTCAGTCTACTTTATGGTCTTGCCTGCATCCACTCCAACCTTGTTTGCATACAGTCTGAATGAATTGATTGTGACAAAAACCAGCTTTGGCAAGCACTCATCATACACAGACAACCACTCATATTTTAGAGCACACGTAAACAATCAATTTGCATTTAGATGAAGAATAGCGGACATAAACTTAGGTCCAGAAAATGCTTTCTTATTCATGTTGGCCACAAGAAGTTGCTCATACATAATGCTGTGGAAGAACCATCCGAATATGAATGTAGGGATGATACTGATTACGAACAACAATGGCATTGTGATCATAATATGAATGCAGATTCAAAGTTCCAGTTTTCTTCCATCCAGCTAATGACTGTTGAGGAAACGTTGATGTATAAGACAGTGATGATGATGCCTCCTCCTCGCTAATGTCCCCCCTCAGGTGCTGAATGAGGCTGTAGGGGCCATGATGTACCACACCATCACTCTGACCAGAGAGGACTTAGAGAAGTTCAAGGCGCTGCGCATCATTATCCGCATCGGCAGCGGCTACGACAACATCGACATCAAGGCTGCCGGGGAGCTCGGTGAGACTGAGGGACAGATGTGGACAAAAGAGGAGGGAGATAGATAGATGTAAAAAGAGAGGTTGTTCAGAAGCAGGCAGTAATCATATGCTGAGAATAATAAACAAGAAGGGGGTTGTTTCTGCCCATATGGCTCATTCATTCGTGGCCACATGAGGGGAAAAAAATTGAATGTATCAACAACAACAGAAATGATGCATTATGGATAAGCAAAGTGCACCCATTGGATAGGGGCCAAACCAAACTCTCCTTGTTGTATTGACTTAACATAAACAACATATGTAACAGGAATTGTTACATACTGTAAACAGAATATGTAATTGAAATGATTGCATATTCAGAGCAGATGCTCCAACTGATATGAAACTCTCCCTTAGATTCCCATTTGGCCCCTTCAGCATATGTTTGGTATGAGAGCAGGATTTAGTGTGATATCTTAATTATTGTCGTTTGTGGTAATACATTTCAGTACGCTGACATGGACTTTTTTTTTTTGAGAAATGTTCTTTTCATGGGCATAATTAGCAGTTATAATTATCATCTTATCCTTCACAGTTCGGTTTTATACACTGCATTTTTATCTTGTAGAAGGTCATAAAGAAAATACATTCCCTACCAATTATTTTGTGAAATAAAAAAGAACTACAGATGAATCTCTCTTCAAAACAGCTACAGTAATTATAACCAACTATTATAACAATTAAATCTGTGGAGCAATTATGTTACTTGTCATTTAAAGTATCATTGTCATCTTAGATGATCTTTTTGTTTTCTTATTTTTTTTCTCTCTGGTCATATCTTTTCCAGGCATCGCGGTGTGTAATATTCCCTCAGCGGCTGTAGAAGAAACCGCAGACTCGACACTTTGTCACATACTCAACCTGTACCGGCGAAACACCTGGCTGTACCAGGCTCTCCGGGAGGGCACGCGGGTCCAGAGTGTGGAGCAGATCCGGGAGGTGGCGTCGGGGGCGGCCAGGATCCGAGGAGAGACGCTTGGCCTCATCGGATTTGGTGAGCTGCTACTTTGGGGGTGCATTCAGAGTGTATTCGGTGTAGCGTTAACGAGAGCATATGGTAGCATATGTGGGAGTGTTTGTGCTCGAGGCTGGAGTTCAGAATGAATGTCCAAACTTGACCTGCTTATTGTTTTGTTTATACTCAAAGGTGAGTGGGCAGTCCTCCTTAAGCAGTGGATTGTTTGTTTTTTTGGTTGACTGTAGTCCATAACTCTTGAGATCTGTCTCAGATGCTAGAAAAAGGGACAACTTCTGCTTCTACTTATGATTTTATTGTGTTTTTACTTTGTTTGCTGACTAACCCATTTGTTGGTACTCATTAGAGCTTCAAAAAATATTATTTTTATTATTGACCAATAACCAACCGGAGTCTACAGCCACGCTAGCAGCCCTATGAGGCTGGACACAGCGATGCTTTGAGCTAAATGCTAACAAGCTCACCATGACAGTACTAACATGATGTTTAGCAGGTACAGGCTAATGTTTACCATGTTATTAGAACCAAGTTAGTGTAGTGGGTTAGCATGCAAATAGTTGCTAATTTTGTTTATTTGTTCATAAAATACATGTAGTGAGTACATACAAGTTTGAATTGATGGTGATTAGATGAAAGGTTAAGGTTACACCAGAGGGATTATAATTCATCTTGAGGGGAACATAAATGTTTTTTGTGTGTCAGAATGTCAAATTTCTTGGCAATTGCTGAAATAGTTGTAGAGAGGTTTCACTCAGAAACTCAGGAGAGTAGTTATTAGGATATATTGTCTGGAAACAATAACCGTTTGTGCCGATCCATCTAGCAGATGCTGAGTTATCTCAGAATAATTGAAAACTTTGAACTGCTGGTGACGTTAGAGGAAAGGTCAGGGGGATCAACAGAATCAGTATGTTTTACCCTTGGGGTTCATGAATGTTTAAGCAATAGAATTTTGTCAAATAACAAATAGACTAATCATAATAATATAATAATAATAATATTAAAAATAAGCTATTAGAACCCGAATCGTCTCTCAGTCCATGCTTTCTGTCCATTTCATGCCCACCTCAGGTCGATCAGGCCAGGCGGTGGCAATGCGGGCCAAGGCGTTCGGCTTCAACGTGATCTTCTACGACCCCTACCTCCAGGACGGCTTGGAGCGCTCGCTGGGCGTTCAGCGAGTCTACACGCTCCAGGACCTGCTCTACCAGAGCGACTGCGTCTCCCTGCACTGCAACCTGAACGAACACAACCACCACCTCATCAACGACTTCACCATCAAACAGGTACATTAGTAAAACACACACATACACACACACACACACAGACGCGTCACCCAGACAGAGCCGAACATCCCATTGAACAGCTGTGACCTGACCTGGGCTTAATGCAGTGCTATCTAGCAGGTAGACACGCAGAGCTGCTGGTGTATTATTACTCTGTCAGCCTGGAGGCTGTCCTAAAGAGCATTATAGTCGGTAGAAGGAGAGAGGGGGGAGAAAAAAAAGAAGAGAAGAAACGGCAGCAGCCTTCCTGCCTGCACATTCCCTGCTCTTTATCTTAAGCTCCACCAAAGCTGGACACAAATTCATTCCTTTGCTCTGTCAAATGCAATTAGCGCCAGCCCACGGCTACAGCAAATATATCGACTTGGCTGCACAGTAGGGGGCTGAGAGCACTGCGAGGGGAAAGTGCTGTTCTCTGAGTCAATAACTGCACTCCGAGGCGCCGCCTGGGGTGACACCTGCAGGGGAGCCGGGGAACTGCACAGGCCGAAAAAGCATCTCCTCTCCGTCGATATCTCCCCATGTTGCCACTCACTGTTTTCTGCCTTTGTCTTGTCTCTTGTGTGCCCTTCTTACTGTTACTGAAGTGGGTGTAGGGTAATAGTCTAACCTAGTTAACTCTGTGTCTTTTCCAAAGCTTAAGATTCTTAGCTGCCTCTTGAGTGCTGCAATGAAAGAACACTTTCCTCTCCTTCCTCACCAAAAATCTTGGCAGTCGCTCTCAGCTTCTAAAGTGGAAACGTGTGTGTGTGTGCGCGTGTATGTGTGTTTCTGTGTGTGTCAAAACCACCAAGGCCTAATAAAAGACTGCCTGCCAGCGTAAAGGCTTTTCATGCCCCTGGATTTCAGCTTTTGTCAAGATTAAGGGATTACTTTCTTGTGAGCATATTCATTTGATTTTTTTTTTCTTCCTCCCTCTTATACTTTTTGTTGTGCCTTTTTTTTTTTTTCCCCCACAAACAGTAAGGGG